AGTCTCTTCTATAGCTCTACTATGTCTCTCAACTAAAAGTCTCTACTACTCATGTCTGTAGCTTTGTCTATAAATTTTAATATTTGGCTCCATAGGCAAGTACTCTCTACGAAAGCTCTCGTCAAATCACTTGAACATTAATTTTCTACCTAGACTGGCAACGATCGCTCAATGAATCAGAAATATTGTCACGTAGATGGGCTCAATAACGGGGCGTGGACCAGTGGACGGGGAAGAGGAAGTGACGAAAGTGGCGAGAGAGAGAGGGCGAGAGACGCCCAGCAGAGCGAGAGAGACGTATGGCGGATAATCTGTCTGGGTTGGGGGTGGGGGCGGCCGCTTTCTTTGCTTTGTTCCGCGCGGCTCATGTTGATTTGGAGAAGATAGCCCACGTCGCGTCGCGACGCCGCCGCCGGCCGCGAGGGAAGCTGCGCCCCTGTTGCCCATTCTTGCCAAGTCCAAAAATTGATTTTTGAGAAAATTAACTCACCTACTCTGCCGTGATAGCGAAGAGAGTAGTACTGCCATGCTAAGGAAAAACGCCGTATGAACATTCGAATGTTGCCTTTACTCTCAGAAAATAATTATTCACTGGAAAAAAGTCGCTCGGATCAAGAGTCCAGACTCTTAATAAAATTGACAAGAAAAATACTCTTGATTCAATCCAATTTTGCCATGAATGGAGATGTTGCATACTGTTCGGACGGGAAATGTTATTAAACGAGTCTCTTTATTTTTTGAAAAAAGTTCAATGAGCCTGTTGCAAGCTAGAGCAAAAGAAAAAAGAATAGTTTCCTCTCCTAAGAAATGGCTCAAGAATCACGATGAGTGCATCGAGCGAGTCTGAAATATCATGTAAAGTCACCATTCGACGCCAAACGTCTTGGTTGGACGAATTCTTGCTTCCTTCAGCGAGGAATCGTGATAGCCGAGAGTGAAACCACTATTCGAGCACGTGGGAGCTCGGGTTGCCTACACTGAAAACTGAAGGCAAACTGACAGTGAGGTAAATTCAACGCTATGCTAACGCTCGGTGAATTATCCTTGGCCCTTATCCTTCACGAGCAATCGTTACGTCTCTGAGAGTATACCACTACTCTTCATTTGGTGATGCGTTTTGTTCTCGTTTTTTTTTTTTTAAATTTCCCTATCGCTTTTTTCTCTCGTGCAAATTTAAATTGTGTATCTTTCCTTAATTCAACTCCATAGTAGACCCATTGAGAGATGAAGACACATCTATCTGTCAATCTATAATTATTTTCTTTAGTTTTCTAATCTTAGCTCTCCCACTCTGTTTCATCGTATCAATCAGGTCTCTATTTCAGTTGTTCAATCACTTTGATTTTCACTTTGTGGGTGAATCTGAGAGTTTTTCGTCAACTATATCTCACAAACTACTCCTACAGTCACAAGGATTGCCTTCATCGTAGAGGTATTTCGCAAAGTTATGGGAATACACTTCTGTGTAGAATCAGATCTGTCACTGGAGGAAGGAGATCTTTTTCTTTTGCCTTTTTTCAGTACCTGATCATTCATGGATCCCACACGCTTATGAGGAACATACCTACTTTTCAAGTCAGAATGTTGCTTCGTTTTCTTGTAAAAAAAAGAGAGGAAAAAAAAATTATGCTAAAATATTAGGCGATATATCCTGATTCTGATTAGGTAATATCGCCTGATGAAATTGAGTTCCACGTGGATCGCATTTCACCAGCAAGTTAGTCACTGCAATGGTCACTGTTATTTCGTAAACAATTGTACATTTTAAAGATGAACGATCGTGTAAATTGTATTACAGTGCTCATATCTCGTATCTACTGATTGCAACAAAGATATAGATACACGATTTAGAAATCACTGTAATCGAGCTGGTTTCCCTCTGTTAAATGGACCGCGTCAAGCAGAAAGGAAGCAAATCACATCCAGCTTTTGCCAAATTTAATTGGGAAATTTTATTTTTTACATGGAAACGGTTGTGTGGACTTTTGTGCAAAGCTCAGTGAATTTGCTGCATCGTATGAAGCAAATTCCTTAGTATTTTCATAGGAATCCGTAAAAACGTTCCCTTGTAAAAAATTACAATGCCCAGCTAAAGTTGGCAATAGCTATGTGGCAGTGGCTTGGTTCCTCTCTGCTAAACGCGGTTCAAATGCGCTCGATCCATGTGATTTTGAACCTGCTGTCGGTTGTGTTGCCGGATACTGGATTTGAAGGCGCATTGGCTCTCGACGGTACTTATCATGTATAATTCTTCCGATTGGCTACCCTGAGAAAAATATTTTTGTTCTTGCGTGTTACTTTTGATTAAAAGGGAGTCAAACACAAACTAACTTGTGCTGACTTTGGTACAGTTTGCGGTGAATTTGACGCAGAAAACAATGGAGGGACTGTGAACTGATTATTGAAATCAATAGACAAAGAAAACATAGGGAATATCGAGCGATCCTATTGGTTGAAATGGGTGGTTCTAATAGACTCACTGGGAAAAAGCACACATTGGATCTAGAGTCCAGACTCTTAAAAACATCGACAAGAAATAGTGCTCTTGATTCAATAAGAAACTAGCTTAAATCAAGAACCAAGCCTCTTAATTCAAGCGGATTTCGTTTTGATTCAAGCAAAAATCCGATTGAATCAAGAGTATTTTTTCTTGTCAATGTTTTCAAGAGTCTGGACTCTAGATCCAATGTGTTTTTTTTTCCAGTGCTAGAAATTTATAATGTAACTACGGGGTCTCTTGTGGGTTGCCATTAGTTAGTCAGCCTACCTCCTTTGTCCGTTGCAACCTCTGTTTCCACCAACAGTTTCCCTTTTGTCCTCTTTGTCTATAGCTTTGTCGATCAATTTCAAAAATCGGCCCGCTGGGAAACTCTAGAGTCAAGCGAAGGCTTGCGGGTTATGTTATTTTGTATGTTGCATCCCATATTAGCACAAAATGTCGGTTACATTTTCTTACCGTGTGGACCGCGCTGAGATGAGATGGTGAGAATGACAACTCGACGGTGGTATTGTGAGATCGGGCGAGTCGGCCGATGCGATGGCAAGTCAAGCTGCGCTGGCATTGTGCGCTGTGCCCAGGTGCGGTAGTCAATCGGGATTCGGCAATCAGATAATCCGGCTGGATCTTTCAGCGGCACGTCGCTTTTCAGCCGGGCTCCGACCCCCTATCGCGCGCCGATGGCCGAGCCGAGCCACCAACTTCCACCGAGCTTTTATATCTCCGTTTTCCTTCCATGCGTGCTCCTTCCAAGGCCGACGAGACAAACCACTCAACTGCTCCTCAGAAATGAATCAGTTAGTTCGAAAACACACCAACTCGGAAAAAAAAATTGTTCAGGAAACACCTAAAACTGCGCAGCGGGCGGAGAAGTTAGTTTAAGACAAACCTTTTTGATAGCCGAGAGTGAAACCACTATTCGAGCACGTGGGAGCTCGGGTTGCCTACACTGAAAACTGAAGGCAAACTGACAGTGAGGTAAATTCAACGCTATGCTAACGCTCGGCGAATTAACCTTGATTCTTTATCCTTCACGAGCAATCGTTACGTCTCTGAGAGTATACCACTATTCTTCATTTGGTGATGCATTTTGTTCTCGTCTCTTTTTAAATTGAATCAGTGAGTTCGAAAACACATAAACTCAGGAAAAAACAATTGTTCAGGAAACACCTAAACCTGCGCAGCTGGCGAAAAAGTTAGTTTAAGAAAAACCTTTTTGGTGCCAAAGGACAAGTACTTAGAGACTTTGTAAAGCACCGAGTTGAAATCGATACACCATGTTTGATGACAGAGAATTACGCGTTTAAAAATTTCCGAGTTGGTGTGTTTTCGTTCTCACCGACTTTCAGATACTGATTTTTCATAGTCTGCCTAGAAAAATTTATATTTTTCGACCCGAATAACGCTTGAATATTCATTTAACTTTTTGGTACAAGGTATACTAAACCGAAAAAAGAAAACAGCAAAATCGGATGGTCGCCCGTTTCCCTTGAAATGGCCAAAAATTGGTATTTCCAATGAATTACTTCGAATTTTCCCTTTTCCCGTCGCTGTTTCGAGCACTTCCGATCACAATTTCGAAATTTCCTTTGGCGTGCAGATGCTTCTATCCATAAGTGTTACTGAACCGTAAAAAAATGGAAATCGAAAATGACAGTAAGTTTACAACGTCGCAAACTGAAATAAGTGGTCTGGTAGTTTCACCGTCGATTTCCTCTATGGCGCTGTAAAACCTGAATGTTATCTATCTATTAATTTATTTATTATTACAAAAACAAAATTACAAAAATAATCACAATTCAACTGGCAAGACCCTCCAGTAGGTAAGCAATGCTGCTTGTGTGGAGGGCTGCATACAAAAAAATAACAACACAGAGGAACCGACAAAATATTTAACATAAGGTAGCCCTGCCTGGTGGGTCAACTAAACAATCTATAAAGTAATAGTACAATAAACGAAGAAAAATAAAATTGAATCTGCTAGATGCAAAAGAAATTTAAGAGAAAAAAATACACAGGTGATGTATAGGTTACTAAGGTGAAGCTGTAGGGGAAAACATTTGGTAACATAACATATTTGGTACAATAACAATTCAATTACGATTTTAAAGAGGCCCTAAATAAACAACAAAATCTTTCAAATTAAAGAAATGGTGGGAGACAGAGCTCATCAAGTTCAGTTTTAGTAGTGGTTGTCTTTTGGCGCCGTACTGGGGTTTTCAAAGATTTCAAAATCGATTTGTTCCGAAATGGATTTTATTAGTCCGATTTTAACATCAAATCGATTTCCCAAAATCGATTTATGTATTCGAAAAAATCGCCAACCCTAACGCGCTAACGCTGCCCGCTGCACCTAAAGGGACTCGGACTCAAGCTGCACCTCTCACCCGCTACCGCCACCTAGCGTCTACGCCGCGAAGCACACTGCACCCAACCGGCAGATAGCCGAGATAGCTCTCGCCGCAGCCGCCGCGTCTCACAACTAACTTCAGTTGCGTGAGACTGTCCTGGCCGCAGGACGCACGTTCGTTTCGACTCGTGCATTTCGCGTCGTCTCTAACCTCCAAAACCCCCCGAACTTTCGCACTTCGCAGTAGTGTGGTGTCGTGTCCCCGAAAGATGTAGTGGCTTTCCCAATCGGCTTTCACGTGTGTTTCCTCTCTGTGTTTCTCATGTTTTCCCGTGTCTCTGCGTGACTCTGCGCGATGTGTGCGCGAGTGGTGTTGTTGTGTTTGTGTTTGGGCTGGGGGGCTTCGGCCTCAGGTCACGCGCTTTTGGAGCCCAACGCGGTGAGCAAGGGTGGATTTTTTACCGAGCTTACTGTTTGTCCCTGGTCCTGCACCTGTACCGGACTTGCGATCGACTGCTCCCATCGAGGACTCACCCAGATCCCGAAAAACATCCCATCGACTGCTGAAAAATTGTAAGTTCCCCCGTTAACTTTAAAAACCCATTTTGCATGTTATGTTTCCTGTTGTCGTCATGCATCGTAAATATGTGGATAACCTCAACTATCATCCAAATCATCTTGCAGTAAACTTGTTTGACACCTCCACGAACACTTGTCGCCTCGCTAGGAGGAATGTGATGGATCTCCAATCTCTCATGTAAACAATCAGCTTTTCGAAACATCTGAACTTTCGCGCTTCCGTTCGTGAGTGTAATACGTCTTTCGGGTAGTGCAAACGTGCATTGCGCAGTGTTACTAACCCCTTTATACACAGTGCATTCTCTCATTGAACAGTTGGTAATAGCCCAAATCACCGAGGCTGATTCCTTCTATTAACAAGAAAGAAGGAAAAAAAAAAACTAATAAAAAGTTCGACGTGCGCTGTAAGTGCACATATTTTATTCATTGTTATACGACCACTCTTATCAACCTAAATCCTGCGCCGAAAATGCGTTGCCAGAGTCTACCCACGCAGGCCGAGGGCGAGGATGCCGGAAAAAAACGTTTTTTAACCTAATTTAGCAACACTGGAGTGGGCTCTCTCATTTCTAACCAATATATTGCAACCTTGAGCTTGCACAGATGCATTCAGAATCATTGTTGCGCTTGAACAGAATTTTTAAGAAAAGAAAATACGAAGATCGACTGGGAGGGATAATAATTTTTTTAACAGGAGTGTGACTGTGAAGTTTCTGTCCAAAATTTAGCTTAATTTTGTGAATCAATAGTAAAATCGGTGGAGTTTTCAGTTGACAATGGTTACCCAACAGTTCTTTAAAACGTAAAACTTGCGGAGGAAAATTTTGCGACGTTGAGATATAGTTACGTTCTTTCGTCTTGGAATTCACGAGTTAAGAGTTGGTTGCGTTGTTTGCACCACGATTCTCTTGAATGTTCACATTGTATTATGCGAATGCGACTGAAAGGAATTTTTTATAGTAACTTAGAGTAAAAACAGTTCTTTAGGTAGGTTGTTTCTTGCTGCGCTCTCAAAAATACTTGTCACGTTAAAGACGTGGCAGATTACGCTAAGTAGGTGCCTACAAAAAAATAAAATGTGTAAGAAAAATGTAAAAACAATATAAATGGAAACTTTTTGTCACAAGAAGTGCCGACTCGCTAACAATGAGAGGTCTGCGTCTTAGTTAGAAAGCGATTAATAGGGAAACATGCATCATGCATAGGTGTAGGTACATATTTATTTTCCTCTCATTTTTTTATCATTATTTTTTATTTTAGGTAGATAAATTAAAGGATAGCGCCAATCTATCTTGGTCCGAAAATTTCCCAACGTCTTCAAAGCCTTCACTGAAAAAAAAATCTCTGTGTATTTACTAAGAAAAGGGTAAAATTACCAAGAATTCAGAGTTCTATTTGATCCCAGTTTTTCTTGGTAAAATTACCATTTATGGAATTGGTAATTTTACCGAGAATCTCGGTAAAATTATTGAACTTTCTCGGTAATTTTACTGGACCTTGGTAAAAACGTCAATATTTTTTATCGACTGTGGTAGAATTATACCGAGATAAAATGGCAAAGTTACCGGGAAGTGATTACCAATAAAAGTGGTATTCTTACCTGAAAAAAACAGTTAAAATACCGGTTTTTAGGTAAGCTTGCCAGTCTTTCTTGGTAACACAACCAATAACTGGTAAAAAAAGTGAGATGGTGAAAGTACCAATGGACCTTTGTAAAAACGCCGAGAATTTTTTTTCAGTGTCATATTTTACTATTGTAACATCGAAAATGCTCATGCTCCTGGTTACGGGGCTCTTTTTGGAAATTGAGTAACATGCGCTAAAAACATTTCCCTCCGCCGAAAATTCGCGGTTGAATTCGGTTATTTTCGTTTCCCGAAATAATTTCATTCCGCGAAGCCCCGCATGTTTTGAAACAAGCAACTCAACTTACTTGCGATGACGAAAGTTTACTCATTGCCAGGAAGAACGTTTAGTTTACAGAACCATAGACACGTCGAAATTGTTCAACTCTTGGCAAGAGGCTGGAAAAAATTCGGCCAGTTGATGACGCAGCCTTTTAATTTTGTTGCTCAAGCGTTTTTTTTAATTGTTGCGGGGGAACCGCTTTGAAGCTCTGGAGCACGTCCACGTCATAAAAGAAGTAGACGTATTTATGCTAAAAGGAACTATCCTGCCCGCAAACCCTATGCACATAGTTCCTTTTAGCATGAATACGTCCAGTCATATTATGCCGGCAGCTTGGAATGATTAATCGGCACGTTGCATCATCAATGAAAAATCAAAGATTGCAGAATTTGGTAATCGCACACCCTCGGATGAACAGCGGAAACCGGCCCATTCAGAAAGAGGCCGCATGGCCAGCGCATGAATGGATGGAATACGATCGCCAGAGAAATTGAGGCGCGCGTGTTTTAGCGATAGAATTTCAACGCTTCAATTTTCAGAAAAAGTTCCTGGAAGAATTTTCACTTTTTTCATTTGAATCAGTGAGTTCGAAAACACACCAACTCGGGTTTTTTTCGATTTTCACTTTTCTACGGTTTAGTACCTAACACTTATGGGTAGAAGCATCTGCACGCAAAAGGAAATTTCAAAATTGCAATCGGAAGTGCTCGAAACAGCGACGGGAAAAGGGAAAAATCGAAGTATTTCATGGGAAATACCAATTTTTGGCCATTTCAAGGGATACGGGTGACTATCCGATCTTGCGGTTTTCTTTTTTCGGTTCAGTAAACCTTGTACCGGCAAGTTATATAAATATTCAACCGTTATATTCAGGTCGAAAAATATAATTTTTCAGGGCAGACTATGAAAGTCGGTGAGAACGAAAACACACCACTTCGGAAATTTTTAAACGCTTAATTCTCTGTCATCAAACATGGTGTATCGATTTCAACTTGATGCTTTGCGAAGTCTCTAAGTACTTGTCCTTTGGCATCAAAAAGGTTTTTCTTAAACTAACTTCTTCGCCCGCTGCGCAGTTTTAGGTGTTTCCTGAGCAATTTTTTTCTTCGGAGTTGGTGTGTTTTCGAACTCACTTATTCATTTGTGTCCTCGCAACGAGAACTCATCGCAGAGGATATTCATCGGACGTTTCTGGTTCCTGCCAATCCAAACGGCAATGTGTATGTATGCTCACCAAGAGTATGTTCTGCACTTAAATTAGATACCGGTGAGCGATAAAGTAATCTCCTCTTTAGACCAACACCAGAACCACTCAATCATTCTTTGATTGGATATTTTTAGCGCACTCAAAGCGTTTTTAATTCTAATTCGTCCTAAAAAGAGACCCGCAACAAGCTCCGAACCAACCATTAATTAACTCCTAAGTGCACCTCTGCGCTTGGTGCAGTCAAATGCGTCTCTTTGAGACCGCGGGAAAAAAAAATAGTGCGAGAGCTGTATTGCCATCCTAAGGGAAAACAGCGGATGGTTGTTCCGAACGTTGCCAAAAGCCTTCCGATACATAAATATTTATTTTTGAGAGCAACGTATTATCAGATTCTTCCTCCTACATCTGCATGCTAATTAAAAACACCGTATAAGCATTCGAATGTTGCCAAATTTCTCCCTTGAAATATTATTTTTAATGAAGGTTATGGATATTTTTCTTTGACATTTTCAGACTTTCAGATCGAATTACGGACGGAATCCTCTGAAAAATCGGGGATGATATATTAACAAATTTCCCTGAAGATTCGTGATTTGTTGAAGGGAATTTGGCATGGCCTGATGGCTCATATATCGTTCTTACTTAGCACGACCGTAGTGGCAAACGCGATTCCCCGAAGCACTTGAGTAAAAAAAATTCACTCTTTTTTTTTAGGAAATTCGTATCGAATTAGAGGAAATCTGGCAACTTTTGGATAATCATACAATGTTTTTCTTCAGCACTGCTTTATGGGCTGATTCGGAAACCTGTCTGATGGACTTATCAGCAAGCAGCATTGCGGTAAAAGCGATTTCAATTACGGCGCCGACAGGGTGCATTGGAAGCGCTCCTCCCAAGATGCCTTTTTGTTTGCTTACCTAACCTACGTCATGCAATCATGATTAGCTCAGCCAGACTTCAGCCATGCTAAGGATAAATACCGCACATGAGTATATAAGACTAAAGAGTTGCACAATCGCTTTAAATGAAATACCTAATTTCTCGAAACTGAAGATTTCACGTTTCCCCCTAATTTGTCACGGAATTTTATCCAAGCCCAAAAGAAAAAAAGCGCGCTGAATTTTAAAATTTTGAGCATGGAACCAGCTAAAGTTATCAATAACCCTCTGTAGCACGGTGTCCCTTATTCGTGACAACGAGTTTTTTTTTTGAGTTTTTGTGAATTACGCTTTTTTTTCTGAGGCATGATGTTGCAAATTTTTCTTACCTAATTGTTTCTTTTTTTCAAAACTGATCACCAAAATTTGAAATTTTTAAGGAAAACTTGGGGACTCCTCGTTTTCACAAAAGCTACAGCATATTTTTGTGTCTTCCAGCATCTGGGACCCAAAATTAATTCCTGCCATGGAGGGTTTACGGTTTGATGCAATACTTCAGTACTGCCGTGCTTAATAAGGAAAAACGCCGCATGAACCTCCTGGCGTTGCCAAATTTCCGTTGGTAAATCTCGAATCCTCGGGAAAATTTGCATAAATTTTGCTTCCAATTTTTCAGGCAATTTTGTTCGCAATTTCACCTGAAGTTTTTGACAATTTATCGGCAAAACTAGCTGCTCCGGGCGCCCTACGGGCGCCCTCCACAGCTAGCAATAGTGGTGCGGTAGCTTATTTGGAATGGGAGCGATTAGTTGAATCTATTTAATAATGATGATGATTCTGCGGCAAAAGATCAAGGAATTTAACTGCCTCTCTGCGTTACAGGGTGGAGACTGCCATTCTACCGAAAAATGTTATAAAAAGCTCGCATTATTAGTTTTCCTTTTTTTGTGTTATTTTTTAATTATTTTTTATTTTTATTTTTTGATAATTTTCTAATGACT